GGGCAGAGGTGCAGGACCTCCCTGGGCACCCAGGGCTCCCACAGCAGCCCACCCCAGTCACTCCAGGAGGACCCAGGCCTCCAGAGCTGGTCAGCCCCGCCAGGGAGCACCCTCTTCCCCTCCCTTAGCGGCCTCTCCCTCCTTTTCCTCCCCGACCTTCCTCATTCCTGACCTCTGGGCTTCAGGTAAACTGCCGGGAATCTGGGCCGTCTGCTGGTGCCTCCCTAACACCACAGGGGCCTTGTGCCCTGTGCTGGGACTGGGCTTTGGAGACGTGGGGTAGGCTGGCGGCACGGCTGTGGGAGGCATGTGTGCACCGAGCGTGATGACCCAGGAGCCAGCTGCATCTTCCACGGGCCTGTGTGTGCCTGTCAGGGGCGGGGTAGGGTCTCTCGCAGGCCGACTTCCAGCCTTGGCTGGAGCAAAATGAAATTCTGAGCCCCTTGTTTAAAAATTACCAGAATTTTTCTTTTCTTTTGTTTTCTTTTTTTGAGACAGAGTCTCGTTCTGTCACCAGGCTGGAGTGTAGTGGTGCGACCTCGGCTCACTGCAACCTCCACCTCCCGGGTCCAAGCGACTCTCCTGCGTCAGCCTCGCAAGTAGCTGGGACTGCAGGCCTGTGTCACCACTCCCGGCTAATTTTCTTTTTTTTGGTATCTTAGTAGAGACGGGGTTTTACCATGTTGGCCAGGATGGTCTCGATCTCCTGACCTCGTGATCCGCCACCGTTGGCCTCCCAAAGTGTTGGGATTACAGGCCTGAGCCACCACGCCCGGCCAGAAATTACCAAGAATTTCAAGACGGGGAACAGCAGAGTATCGGGCCAGCTGGGGTGGGTGCACGTGACTGCCCTTGAAGCCGGCCCCGCTCCGGCCTTGGGGACAGCACGGGGCAGAGGCCGAGCCGGGCCCACCTCCAGCGCCCTGGGTCTGGCCCGAGGAGTCTTAGTAATGACACCGGCGCTCTTCTGTGTTCTGGAACCTCCGGTATAGTTAAAGCCTCGCCGACACCCCCTCCATGCGGTGCAGGCTGACCCAGCCCCCCTGGCACCCAGAGCTCCCCAAGTTGCCACCAGTCAGCACGGGGTCACCCTCCATTTGCCTGATGCTTTGTATATTGTCTGCGTGGTTCGAAGTCTCCATGCCCGGCCTGGGGCCGGGGGCCGGGCGAGGTCCCGTGTGGGGAAGGGCTCAGGGCGTCGGTCGTGGGCTGAGAGCTACCCAGGTCTCACTCCTGGACCCGGGCCCCGGCCCGGCCCCCAGTCCCCTCGAACGCCCTGCGGAAGCATCCTCGTGCCGCGCGCGCCAGGTGGGGAGGGCCGGGGTCGCGGCGGCTGCGTGGCCGGGGGCCGCGGTGATTGGTGGGCGCGGGCGGAGCGCTGGGGTTTGCGGGGCGGCGCGGCGAGCAGGGGAGGGGTCCGTGCGGGGGCGGAGCCGCCGGGGATTGGCCGGGAGGGAGCGGGCCGGGCGGGGCGCATGGGGTCTGGGGCGCGGGGCCGCAGCGCACGGGCCGGGCAGGTGTCTGGGTCCCGCCGCCGGGGTCCGAACCTGCCGCGCGCCCCGCCGTCACCGCGGTGGCCGGAGCGGGAGCGGGCGGGATGGGGCGTTCCGGGGCGGCGGGCGCGGGGCGGTGAGCTGCGGCCCCGGTACCCGGGCGCGATGCGCCGCTCCAGCACGGACGAGTCCACGTACCGGCGCAGCCCCTCTCCGGAGGGCAAGGAGCCGGGCTTCGCGCGCAGAGGCCCCTTCCGGCGCTACAGCGGCCTGTACGGGCGCGCGGGCGGCGGGGACGCCGGGGACGCCGGGGGCGGCGGCGCCTTCTTCGGCCTGCACGCGAACCCCGGCCCCAAGGCCGCCCAGGCGCGCTACACGTCGCCCAAGGGCAACAAGTACGTGGTCTTCTACCTGGACCTCTCCTTCATCTTCCTCCTAGAGCTGAAGCGCTGCGGCATGGCGCGCGCCTGCCTCCAGGCGGTCAAGTACCTCATGTTCGCCTTCAACCTGCTCTTCTGGGTGAGTCCGGGGGCCGGGCTGGGGGCTCCGGGAAGGACGCGGGGGCTCTGCTGTGGCGGGTCGCAGGGTCTGGGGACCGCAGCCGCTGCCCCGGCCGGGTACTGGGTGCGGTTGGGGGGCTCCCAGGAGGACCCAAGATCAATGCTCCGGCCGGGGGTCCGCTCTCCGTGGGAAGGTTTTCGCCACCACGGGGTCCGCCCCCTGCGCTCCGAGCTGTTGCCCCACACCCCGTCCCCCTCTCGTGTTGCGCACGTGCACGCCAGACGGGGCGGACCCGGGCACTGCGCCTCCCCCAGGGTCGGGGTTCGAGTCCAGGTCGTGGCCAGCAGTGTGTGGGGCCGCGGGGCCTCCCCTGGGCCCGACCCCTGCTCGGTGCAGTCGAGATCCTGACCTCAGCCCCGCCCCTCCGGGCCTAGGACTCACTTCCGAGGGCTTGAGCGGGCTGCCGCCGAGGTCCCCAGGTCTCCGGGAGGCGCTGCGGAAGGGAGGGGAGTCCCGTACACTGAGCTGGGCCGTGGGTGATGAGCGCCCACGGGAGACACTGGTTTTCCCGCGCCAGAGGCTTCTCGAAGTTCTGCCGAGGTGGATCAGGTTTGCTCAGACCTGCAGAGGTGTCCCCGGTGGGACCTGTGTGCTGGGCGGAGCAGAGCTGAGGCGGAGGAAGGACGGAGTTCCACCCTACCCAGCACGTGTCTTGTCCGCAGGAGGTGGGGCCCGGGCCCTGGAGCAAGCCTTGTGGAGCAAGCCGCGACCCTGTCCGGTCCCTGGCCCCTGCGGGAAGGTGGCAGGAGTTCAGGGTGGCCTGGGCCGGGTCTGGGGCTTCACTGGCTGGGCTGGGGAAGGCGTAGTGAAGTGATGCCAAGGTCGTTCTGTGCCCTTTCCTGGATTCCTGAATCTGCTCCTGCAGCTGGGAGCCAGGGGGTGTGGCCTTAGCGCCTGCCTGGGCTCTGGGCCTCAGAAGGAGGCTGTCAGTCTGCATGAGGTCCAGCTGGTAGTGCCCAGAAGCCTGGGTGGGCCTTCCCACCTCTGCCCTCGGCCCTGGCTCCTTCCCTCCCCAGCGTGGGGTGGGACCAGGGGAGGGGGTCCCTGGCAGGGACAACCAGCCCGGGCTGCCAGCTGTCACCCAAGACGTCCACCTCCAAAAGGGGTCACCACTAGGCTTTGTCTTCTGCAAGAGGCTCTGGAGGGGTGAGCCCAGGCCCTGGGGGCGCCTTGCAGGTGGGGGTGGCAGGAGACGTGAGTGTGGAGGGCGACTGAGTGACTGGAGTGCCTCTGTGATGGGGATGGGCCAGAATGACTGAGGCGCAGTGGGGCTGGGGCCTGGCGGGCAGGTCCTGGGAGGGGAAGCCTTCTCCCTTCTCCACCCTCCTTTCGTCCTTGGCGGCCTGGACACCTGCCTTCAGGGAGAAGGAGGAGGGTCCTCCAGGGGAGTCTCTGAGAACCCCAAAGAAACCTCCCTTCCTACTGCATGGCAGGCACACTCCGCTGCCCTCAGCCTGGGAAAGAAGATACCAGGAGCCCCCTTGGGACCCTGTTGTGGGCTGGAAAATCCAATTCTCTCTCTTTTTTTGAGACGAAATCTTGCCTGTTGCCCAGGCTGGAGCGCAGTAGCGAGATCTCGGCTCACGGCAACCTCTGCCTCCCGGGTTCAAGCGATTCTCTTGCCTCAGTCTCCTGAGTAGCTGGGATTACAGGCGCCCACCACCACACCCGACTAATTTTTGTATTTTTAGTAGAGACAGAGTTTCACCATATTGGTCAGGCTGATCTTGAACTCCTGACCTGGTGGTCTGCCCACCTCGGCCTCCCAAAGTGCTGGGATTACAGGCGTGCACCCAGCCCCAGTTACCTTTTATTACTCAATTATCAGCTGCCCCCCAGTCTAGCAAACGGGAGCCCTGCTGGCCTCATACACCAGCCTTGGCCCCACCCAACCCAGCTGGTGTCCAGCGGGGGTCTGAGGGTGGAGGTGGAGCAGGGTGAGTAATACTGGGTGGGGGTTTTGCCAGGAGTCTGTCCCGGGCTGATGTCCACTCCTGCTGCGTCCAGAGCCACTGTGGGCTAAGCCCCTCCTCCTGGTGTGGGGCTGTTTTGGGAGTCAGGCCTAGCTAGCCCCTGCCCAGGACCCCTTTCCTTTTGGGGGTGCCAGAAAGGAAAATGCCGCCCACTCCATTTCCTACTTAGTGGGAGACCAGGCGGCAGAACCTGGGCCTCCTCCTGAGAATCATTTTCTCTATCTCCCCAGGAGTGAAGCCCAGGGTTAAGGTGGTGGGAGGGGTGTCCCCCTTGGTGGGACCTCAAGATCCCTGACTCCTCACTGCCCAAGTTGTGCTGGGCCTATGGGGAGGGCATGGGGAAGCCCCAGTGGGCAGTCAGTGGCTAGAGCCGTGGGCAGTGGTGAGAGCCAGAGTGGGTGAGGAAAGGTGTGTGTGGTGGGGGGCTGGCCCTGTCGTGGATGTGGCTGGGGTGAGGGGGGCAGGGGCTGAGCCCTGTGACGTGGTACAGGTGTGGCTGGGGTGAGGGGTCCTCTGGCACTGGGAGGGGTGGGTGTGCCTGGCACCCGCGCAGTGGTCCGAGTGCAGTGATGGCTCTGTAGCTTCCATCTGCCCCCACCTCACCTGGCTGCCCCTCACCTTTGCTCTCCTGGGCCCTCAGCCCCAGCCCAGCACCCCCCTCTCCTGCCTTTGCCTCCGTGCTCTCCTCCAAGCCCCCTTCTTCCAAATGCAGACCCTCCAAGACCCTCACAGTACTCCTGGCTGCCAGGTCTCTTCGGGCCCAGGCCTGAGCCCCCTGCACTCCCACGGCCAGGCTGGGGCCCTGGCTGAGACCACAGCCGCTGACCGGCCTTGGGTCCTACCTGGGAGGGGAGGGGAGGGGCTGGCTCCAGAAGGCTGAAGGCTGCTCGGTTATTTGGGTGCAGCATCGGGTCCGGTTTCCTGGGCTGGCATCCTTGCTGGGGTCTGGGAGGGGCGCTGTCAGAGGGGCTGTGCCCACAGCCTTCAGCCTTGGGTGGAGTGTGGAGGGTTCCTGGGGTGGCCAGGGTGTGGGGAGGTAGGATGTGTCCTGGCCTGGTGGTAGGGGACCCGGTGGGGCCTTCAGAGCAGCGGTGCCAACTCCTAGCCCCACGGACACCTGGGGACACACCTGCCTGCCTTCAGGAAATCGAGGCCCCCACCCGGTGATGGCAGCTCCACTGGGACACGGTTGCCGAGCCCTCCCCACCCTGCACAGGGCGGGGGTGGGAAGCAGGCGGGGGTTGGGAAGCAGGGTCCCTGTGGTGGGGCCAGGGTGTCTCCTGGGAGCCCTATGCCAGAGGGAGGCTGGGTGCAGGGCCCAGGAGCCTGAGCCAGGTGTCCTGAGCCGAGGCACGTGCCAACAGACCCAGGTGAGCTGCAGTGAGGCGTGGGGGCTCTGCTGCCCTGGGACCCCGCCTTGGGGCCTCCGTGCTGCCTTGTCAGCTCAGCCTCTGCCAGCAAAGCTCTTCCCTTAATGGAAGAGGAGTCCCAGGGGTGGCGGGGAGAGGACGGGGCCTGCTCTTCCTGCTGGCCGGGGGTGGAGGCCGCCGCGGTGCTACCTGGAAGGGCTGTCCTCCCCCTCTTCTTCCCCCGACCCCACACGCCCGCCCGGGAGCTCAGGCCCTCTGTGGTCAGGGCCCTCCTGGGGGGCCGGAGCCCTGCCTGCCACTGTGGGACCTGGGCCAGTCCTGCTCTCCCCGGGTCCTCATTTCCCATCTGCACCACGTGGGGTGGCACAGGGTAAGGTCCCTAGATGTGGCCTGGCATGGGGAGGGATGAATGGAAATGTGGGAGGCCCCTCAGACCTCCCCTGCTGCCTGCGCCCCTGGAGGATCCCCCAGGTGAGCATGTGAGTGTCACAGCCTGGAGGGGGTGCAGAGAGCCAGCCCGTGGCTTCTCTCCCCTGGGATGAGCTGAGAGCTGGCAGATGGTGTGGCTGGCCCACCACGGCGGACAGCACAGTGTCCCCCAGGGGTGGCAGGGGCTCTGCCTCCAGCTCCCGGGCCTTTCTCTGAGGACTTCGGCATCCAGGCCGGCCTGTGGGGTGGGGATGGTGGCAAATGTTCATTTCTGAACAAAAGCCCCGACGTGGGGAACCACAGCGTGCCTGAGCCCTGGGGAGTGTGTGGCTCCCTGTGGGTGGGGTGCAGCCATGGTCGGTTGGGGTCCCTGCCTGCCCAGTGGTGGGTTCCAGGCAGCTCCAGTGCTGTTGGGGGTGGGTGGACCTGTCCACCAGGTAGCGCAGGCCTGGCTCTGTGGGACCTGTGCAGCTGCTGGGTCCCAGCTGGTGGTGGGTGGCCGGGCGGCCGGGCCTCTGTGTGGAGAGGGCTCTCGGGGGCAGGGATGTAGCATTGGCAGCTCAGGGCTGCAGGGGGCAGGTGGAAGTCAGGAGGCCCCGCAGGGGTACGGGAGTGAGAGTGTGAGCCGTGGCCCTGGCCCAACCAGGACCAGCCGCCTCATTGCCGCTCCCACGCAGCCCTGTGGGGTCACAGCCTCCTCCTGGATTCCTCCCCGTCCTCTGGCAAACTCTGCTCACCCGCAGGACCCAGCATGGTGCCCTGGGCAGGTGACCCCTGGCAGGGGCTGTTGTGCCCTCCCTGCCTTGGACACTGGCCTCAGGGTGGGCCTTGGTTACTGGGTGGGGGCCGGTCTCCTCATTTCTGGGCCCTGGGGGCCCTTGGAGAGCTGCTAGGGTCAGGGGTGAGGGAGCGGAGGACAGATGAGGCTGTGGAAATGAGACCACTGTGTAAGGAAACAGCACAGTGAACCACGCAGGTCGTAAGTGAACAGACTCGTCAGCCCTGGAAACCAGCCTCCCAGTCACATGGGACATCCGCCAGCCCAGAGGGTCCTGAGGCTGTGCTGGCTGCCTGCGTCCCTGTCTCTGGACAGAGTCCTGGCCCCTGCAGGGACCCAGACCCCCATCCTGTTCCAAGGACGTGGCCAGCAGCCCAGCCATCTGCCACACAAAGGCACGTGGGCCTGGAGGAAGCACAATCCCTGCCCGAGGCCTGACCAGGAGGCTCAGGGGGGCTGTCCAGACCAGAAAAGAGGAGCAGGGCCGGGAATGCAAGGGCCTCAGCAGCGTCTGCACACGCCAGCACTGGGGGACGGCGCCCCGAGCCTCTTGGGTGGGTGCTGGGGTCGGCCCTCCCGAGCCTCTTGGGTGGGTGCTGGGGTCGGCCCTCCCGAGCCTCTTGGGTGGGTGCTGAAGATCGGGGTGAGCAGGTGTCGGATGGACATTGGCCTGAAGTGTTCTCAAGCAGGTGCTGGGAACAGGTTCTGTCCCCAGAAGTGGACAGTGGGCAGTGTGAGCTTCTGCCTGGGAGGAGGACGGGCTGGCCATGGTGGTGAGGAGGTCTGGGATGGGCGCCCGTCTCCTGGGCTGTCTCCCCAGCTGCCATCCCTAGGGCTCCTCTCCCTAGCTGTCATGGGGGCAGGGTCACCTTCCACCTGAGCTTGTGTCTGGCCTCCTGGGGGCAGCAGTGAGGGAGGGGGCCTCCCCGCCTATTTGTATTGGACGGGCGGGGAGGCAGCTTGTCTGTTTTTTGGGGCCAGGCCCAGATGCTGGGTGGGACCCTGGCAGCACGCACCCGGCTGCCAGCCACACCCCCAGCTGCTGCCCCTCTGGCTGCGTTGGACCAAAGAGGGCCCTGGCCCTCCTGGCCTCAGCTCCGTTCATCCTACTTTGTTCTGCTCCAGGCAATGGGGCCCATTTTCTCTTGCACTCCGAGGCTATAATTTTCCTGCCAAAATGTTTTAAAAGCTTACACAGAAACGCTTTCAAAATTGCAGGTAATTTTACTAACTACGCGCGTGCGTTTTGTCTGTGTGTGTGTGTCTGCCAGTGTGCAGGTGAGGCATGCTGGGGCCTCAGGGCCTGGGGGACCCCGGGTTGCAGCAAGAGACTGTGAGCGTGTGTGTGACCACGTGACGGTGTGGGGCGTTGGTGACATCGTGGGCTGTCACAGTGTGTGTGGCCGAACCAGGCTGCTGACAGTGAGTGGGTGTCTTTTTCCTGCCGTCTGGTGGAGGTGAGGATGTTTCGTGGAATGTTAATTAGGGAAATAAACTCCCACCGGGGCTGGGGCAGTTGTGGAGGGGCCCGGGGCTGGAGGTGTAGGGCCCCTTCCTGCCCAGTCCCATGGAACGGGGTGCCACACCTGGCATGGTGCCAGCCACTCTGCACCCGTCCTTCCTGTGCCCTTCAACGTGTTCCCATGGGGCGAGGGCAGCTCGGAACAGCTCATCTTCCTGCTGACAGGAGCGGTCAGTCTGCCGTCCTTGGAAGGCAGAGGCTGACGGCACAGGCAGGTTTTTTTTTGAGACTGAGTCCTGCTCTGTCTCCAGGCTGGAGTGCAGTGGCACGATCGTGGCTCACTGCAACCTCCACCTCCCAGGTTCAAGCGATTCATTCTCCTGCTTCAGCCTCTTGAGTCGCTGGGACCACAGGTGTGCGCCACCACGACTGGCTAATTTTTGTATTTTTAGTAGAGATGGGGTTTCACCGTGTTGGCCAGGCTGGTCTCGAACTCCTGACCTCGTGATCTGTACAGTTTGGGTTTTATTTATATTTTATTTTTTTATAAAGACTGGGTTTCACCATGTCGGTCAGGCTGGTCTTGAACTCCTGACTTCAGGTGATCCGCTTGCCTTGGCCTCCAAAGTGCTTGGATTACAGGCCATTGTGAGCCATGGTGCCCAGCCCAGTTTGGGTTTTAAATGACAGTTTTCTCTGTTGTGCCGGCTGCGCCAGCACCTCCGCTCAGCTCAGGGAACTGCACCCCCAGCCTGGGCCTTCAGCCTGGGATTCGACCTGCAGGCAGCTTGGCGCTTGAGCCCAGGATATGCTCTGAGCTGGCGATGCCCATCTCCTCTCCAGGGCCCCTGGTTTCCCTCTGATGTCCAGCCTCTTCCATGGGGCAAGTCCAGAGCCAGCAGGGCCCCACCCTCCTGCCCCATCACCTGGTGATCCAGACCAAGGGCACATCTCTTTTCTGCCTGGTTCTTGGGGCAGCGACAGTGCCAGGCCATGTGTGGGTCCCCCTAGTGCCCTATCTGCCCCTCCATGAGACCTGGGAACGGTGGGAGGACATGAGGACAGCCCAGGGAAGGTCAGGGTTCCCATGTGCTCCTCAGGAAAGGCCCCCAGTTCTGCACAGCCTCATCTGTACTGATCTGTCTGCATGGCACGGTTGGCATTGTCTGTCTACACAGCACAGGTGGCCTCATCTGGACTGGTCTCTACACGCTGTGTGTGGCCTTGTGCCTGACATTCCAGGGGCAGGACTGAGTGGGCCACTGCCCGTCCAGGTCTCTGCAGTGCTCCAGGATGTTATGGGGGACACCTTCCCATAGATGGGTGGGGGCACCACACCCCTGGTCAGCACGGCGGACAGCTCATCTACTGGGAAGTGGGGGGGTCTCTAGAGCTGGCAGACCCCTGCCCATCCTGGGACTGTGCCCCAAGCCCAATGCTCCCGGTGAGGACAGATCCTCTTGATTAGGGAGGTCCCCTCACTGTGCCACAGACCTGGCCTCTGGTCCTGCACACTCCAGACACACGCACCCGGCTCACACATGTGCCGGCTCACACCCACCCCTGGCTGACACTTGCCCCAGCTCACACCCACCCTGGGCTCACACACACCCTGGTCTGACACACGCCCCAGCTCATACCCATCCCGGCTCACACCCCAGGCTCACGCCCACCCCAGGCTTACACACTGGATTCACACCCATCCTGGGCTCACACTCGGCTCATACCCACCCCAGCTCATACCCTGGACTCACACCCACCCCAGGCTAACACCCAGACTCACACCCACCCCAGCTCACACCCCCACCCCAGACTCACTCACCCCGGCTCACATTCAGGCTCACACCCTGGCTCACCCCCACCCCAGGCTCACTCACCCTGTCTCACACTGAGGCTCACCCCGGCTCACACACATCCCAGGCTCATGCATCCCTCCCCTGGTGCACCCCCAGGCCACCTTCCATCGGGCTGTGCTGACTCCCATCCCAAGCCTTTTCCTGGTCTCCTGGGAAACCTCCCCTATCCCCCTAAGCTGCCTCTGGAGCTGGGTTTGCTCAGAAGCCACACCCAGGTGCCTGCGTCAGCCCTTGCCTGAGGGTACTCCCAGTCCTGGGGTGCAGAGCACAGGGGTGATGCCTTTTCCTGCACTGTCCAGCTCCCCCACACCCCTGCCCCCTGCCCCCCCATTCCTGGCTGCTGAGGAGGGCTCTGGGTTTGTGGGTGGGACTCCACAGGACCAGGAGCCACGCTGGCTCAGCAGAGCTTCCAGGACGGGCCCGTGCAACCTCCCGACAACGTGCTGTTTTGGACGTTAATTGGAGGTGCTGCCTTTGGAAGCCTGCGTGTTCTCCCCAGGACAGCCTGAGCACCTGTGGTACCTCTGGGGCCCCGGCAGGGCGATTCTGCTGTGAGGGCATTTTGCCCTGACGAGCCCAGAGGGACTCAAGACACCAGTGAGAGGCCTGGCCTGCACGCCTGGGCACCAGCGGCCACCCCTGCCCTTGGGGAGGAAGCTGTGTCCACCTCCCCAGCGTGCAGGCTCCTGCCAGCCAGTGAGGGGGCGGCCTCCACCCTCCAGCCTAGCCCTGGCCAATGTGCTGCTCGGGGGGGTGAGGGAGCATGCATCCCGAGGCAGGGGTCCTGGGGCCCATGGGGCCTTCGTGAGCCCCTCCAGCCTGGAGGCCCAGGCCCCTCTCAAGCTGGGCTGGTGCTGCCGGTGGGGGTGGGGCTCCCCGTGGCCAGCAGCTTGTCTCCCAGACTTGCTTTCTGTCTGGAAAGTGGGGTGTGAGTCTCCACTGGGCTTGGGAGGCTTCTATGGGGCAAGTTGGGGCTTCTGGTGGGACCGGGAACCCCTAGAGCCTGTGGTCTGAGCCCATCCTCGGGCGTGTGGTCTCGGTGTTCTGAGGAGCTCTGTAGGGTTGAGGGATGGCTTTGCCAGTGCAGTCCCAGTCCCGTCCAGTCCTGGGGCAGGAATCCCCCAGGGCTGTGCGGCCTTTCCCCCAAGCCAGCAGACCATTGGGACGTCCCCACCACCCGCCTGGGCCCCGTGCCTCGGACCCGGAGTTCGTCAGTATTTTTGGGGGGCTCCTTGCCCTGTGCCTAGAACGCATCTTTCTGCCTCTCCCAAAACAGCCCGTGGCCTGAGTCTGAGGGTGGGGGTCCTGGCGGACCCCTGCTCCCTATGAGGCCTTCTGGGCCGGCAGCCTGGCACCCACCCTCCCTCCGAGTGCAGCACCCGCTGGTCTCCCGCCTCTTTGTATTTTAATTGATTTTTATAAGAACAAGCATCAGGAAGTGGAGTAAACGCTCTGGCGCTTACAGATGCTGTGGGAGGTGGCCCTGCAGACAGCAGGTGCTCCCGTGGGACTCTTATTCCTCCTGAGATCCCCGCCCTTTGGCTCCAGGCCGGGGGTGGTTTTGGGGCCCATGGGAGCCCACACCACTGTGGCTGTGGAGTGTGGGTCTGGGGATGGGGCCAGACCAGGGTGTGGGGAAAAGGCGGGCCTGCCCTGGACACCCCCAGGGCTGCCGTGGGATTTAGCGGGACTCTGGGTGGTTCTGGCTCAGGACGGCAGGTGGTGCCGCCTTGGACTTGTGGGCCGGGCTCTGCCCTGGGGTCCAGAGCCTCACCCTCTCTGTCTCTCTCACCTTGGCCGTGCCCCAGCTGGGAGGCTGTGGCGTGCTGGGCGTCGGCATCTGGCTGGCGGCCACACAGGGGAGCTTCGCCACGCTGTCCTCCTCCTTCCCGTCCCTGTCGGCCGCCAACCTGCTCATTGTCACCGGCACCTTTGTCATGGCCATCGGCTTCGTGGGCTGCCTGGGTGCCATCAAGGAGAACAAGTGCCTCCTCCTCACCGTGAGTGCCGGGGCCTGGGGGGACACACAGTGTAGGGCGTGGTGGCCCCCAGCCGTGGCTGCAGCAGTGACCCTCACAAGCGGGTGCCACCTCAGGGGTCTGACCTCCAGGGCGGGAGTGTGGTCTGGGGCCCCAGTCAGTCTTGGGTCTTCCAGGCTGGGTCAGGGCTGGGGGGGATTTTCAGAGCAGTGGGGGTCACTCTCTCAAGAGAACACGCTGTGGCTTGTCGGGGCCTCCCTCGACAGGACACTGGCCCCGGTGAGTGCAGGTACAGCCCCATGCACGTGTGCACATGTACACAAGGCCTTTCACGGGCGGGTGGGTGGGCAGCCGGGCTCCATGACTCATTCCTCACCACCCCCACCCCACCCCCACCAGGGGCCTGGCCTCAGCTCCCTGGGACCCTCTGCTGAGACCCTCCTGGCCCCACCTTGCCTTGGAGCCGGACTTACAGGCAGGGATGCGTTTATCCTTCTGTCCTCAGCCCAGCTCCCCGTCCGCCGCACTTACGCCCACCCTGCCTGGGCCCCTAGCTCCCGACCCCACCCTGTCCATTCCTGCCCTCCTTTTTCAGGGTGTCAGTGACCCACGCGGAGGAACAGCAGGGCTGGGGTCAGGCTGAGCTTCGGAGCTGCCACCAGGAGGGGGGAGGTTGGGTGGTCAGAGGCAGGGTTTACAGCCCATGATCTTGTGGAGGGTGCATCGGCCACCTTGGCTGCCCTGAGGGCTGTGATGTCGGGGCGGAGGGGGCTTCTGCAGCCCAGCTGTGGCCCCTCCTCCCGCCACAAAGACACAGGCACCCAGTGAGGCCCCCAGATGGAGGTGTCCTGAAGGCGGCTGACAGGGGCTGAGGCCTCGGGAACAAGGACTTGTGCCCACTTTGGGGTGTCTGGGTTGCCCCGGGGTGGGGATGGGAGGGGAGCCCAGGGCCCCACACTCGGGCTGAGCCGGACGCAACAGCCACAGTCCCTGGACCTGGGCCAAGTTCTGAGGTGGGGTTGGCATGCCGGGGTCTCTGGGAGTAGGGGCCTGGCAGGGGTTTCTTGGTAGCACCAGGTGTCCCTGAGGTGTGTGGCCCCGGGCCCTGGCGTGCTGTGGGGTGGAGGCCGGGGGGCCTACCGGGTCCCTGCCTGAGCCTGCCCCTCCACAGTTTTTCCTGCTGCTGCTGCTGGTGTTCCTGCTAGAGGCCACCATCGCCATCCTGTTCTTCGCCTACACGGACAAGGTACAGCCGCCTCAGCGCAGGCCCAACTGCAGGGCTGGGGCTCTGTCCTTACCCCAGGGGGCGTGGACAGAGTGGCCCGGCATCTGCCCTCACTGGTGGCCAGGGATGGCGGGGGTGGACTTCGCAGTAGCCACTGGAGACCAGGCCTGGAGGGAGCGCGACAGCAATCCTGGGAGGCTGTGCTGTGGCTCTGAGGCAACCCCGGGCATGAGGGCAACGCTCCTCTACCCGAGGCCGTCCCCCACCCGAGGCTGCTCCCCGACCCAAGGATGCTCGGGGGTCATCCCCTGCCCTCTGCCTGCTTCCGCACCCGAGGCTGCCCGGGGGTCATCCCCTGCCCTCTGCCCGCTCCCCCACCCAAGGCTGCCCGGGGGTCATCCCCTGCCCTCTGCCCGCTCCCCCACCCGAGGCTGCCCGGGGGTCATCCCCTGCCCTCTGCCCGCTCCCCCACCCAAGGCTGCCCGGGGGTCATCCCCTGCCCTGAGGCAGTGTCCTGGGCTGTCTGCCCCCAGTGCTCTTGTGCGGCACTAATTTGTATATTTGGCCGTTTGTTTATGCTGAGATGAAGTCAGATATTGAGGCTGTGCTCTGAGCTAAAAACAACACTACTTTGTGACTCACACTGCCCGTCCTCGGCCCTGGGGAGCTCCTGCAGTCAGCTGCTGTGTCCCCTGGTGCACCCCTGTCAGCCTTTTCACTTTGGGGCACGTCCTGACTTCCCTGCCCTGCAGGACGCTCCAGCCTCCTCCTGTATTCCCTGCCCCGGTCCCAGAATCAGCCCCTTTTCCAAGGAGCCCCAGGCCCTCACTTAATATTGGGGACCAAGGCCAGGGTGCTAGGTGGGCCTGGCGCTTGTAGCTCCTGGCTTTCAGCTCACACAGCATGGCTGTGTGTGACATGTGGAGGCACCTCTGTCCTTGCCCCTGTCTCCCAGGACCCACGGTCCTCTCCCTGCCTGGGGAGGAAGCTCAGGGGTGGGGGCCCTCAGCCTCAGAGCTACTGAGGACATGGGACTGAGGACTCGCAGTTTCTTAGGCTGGCAGGGGCGGGAGCCACTTCAGGACGAGGTGCAGAAGGGTCGGGGGCCCAGGTTCGGGGCCAGGGAGGGCGTCCGGGTGAGGGGGTGCGACACAGTGGGAAGGGCCCTGCTGACCCCACTGCACCCCCAGATTGACAGGTACGCCCAGCGAGACCTGAAGAAAGGCCTGCACCTGTACGGCACACAGGGCAACGTGGGTCTCACCAACGCCTGGAGCATCATCCAGACTGATGTGAGGCATGGGCAGGTGGGTGGGGTCAGCGGGTGCCCCCCCCCTCCTGCCTAAGCCTGACCCGAGCTCGCCCCCCAGTTCCGCTGCTGTGGCGTCTCCAACTACACCGACTGGTTCGAGGTGTACAACGCCACGCGTGTGCCTGACTCGTGCTGCCTGGAGTTCAGTGAGAGCTGCGGGCTGCATGCCCCCGGCACCTGGTGGAAGGCGGTGAGTGGGACCCCCATGGGGGTCAGCGGGGCCTGGAGGGTGGGGGCCAGCAGCCTGGGACGCCCTGCCGTGACGTGCGGGGCACGCCTCCCTACAGCCCTGCTATGAGACAGTGAAGGTGTGGCTGCAGGAGAACCTGCTGGCTGTGGGGGTCTTCGGGCTGTGCACGGCGCTAGTGCAGGTAAGGCCTGGGGGTCCCCCTCTGTTGAGGCCTTCTGAGCGCAGGGAACGAGGTAGCAAAGGCCTCGCTCCCAGGAGCTCATGACTAGGGAAGGTGGGTTCTGGGGGTATGGGCAGGGCCGGGGTGTGGGGACAGTGGGCTCCCGCCTAGTGGACAGAGGTGGAGGTGGGTGCAGGGCAGAGGCGGCTGTCCGTCCACGCTGGTGTCCCAGGACTGGCCAGGGCAGAGACCCCTGCTCTAATTCCACAGTTGCCGTGAGGTCCTGGGTGCCCTCATGCCTGCAAGGCTCAGGGGAGGGTGCTATGGCCGAGCCCCAGGGTTTGGTGGGGCGTGAGCCATGGGAAACTGAGGGGCTCTGCCACTGTGTCCCCCACCCCGGGGTCAGGGCCAGGACACCTGACAGGGACGCTCTGGGCATGAGGCCCCAGCCCGTGGAGCAGCTGCCCAGCACTCCTCCATCCCCACAGATCCTGGGCCTGACCTTCGCCATGACCATGTACTGCCAGGTGGTCAAGGCAGATACCTACTGCGCGTAGGCCACCGGAGACCTGCTTTTCTGCCACAGGACGCCCATGGGGAGAGGGCTGTACCCACAGCTGCCTTTCCCACCACCGGCCTTGGTGCTCTGCCCCATGCTGGGAGGGAGGGGAGGGACAGATGCCTGGAACCTGTTTCTGGAAGGCCCTGGCTTGGGTGCCTTCGGGGCCTCCGGACCCCCCCCACCCCAGGGGATGGCCACAGACTGGCTGCAGAACCCAGGGCAGGGGTGGGAGGGGCTTCCAGCAGTTTTTGTATGTATGATTCTCCAGAGCGGTGTTCACATGGGAGCCAGCCTGTGGCCCCTGGCTTCCCGGGACACAGGATGGGGCTGGAGGGGCCAGGTCTCAGCATCCTGGAGGTGGCCCCATCCTGGAGGTGGTCCTGGTGCTCCAGGCTGGGCCGCGGGCCCCTCACCTACATTCCACAGTGGCCATGGGACTCATGGTGCATCTCTTAATAAAGTGTGAGCAGCCCCCCATGCCTGTTGCTGGTCCACCTCCCCCCCACCCCATCTTCCCCTTTGGCATCTAGGCCTGGGCAGAGCAGCCTCTGGCATGACAGGTGCTTAGATAGAGCCCTGTGGCTGTGGGCACCCCCCCTGCAGATTGTGATGGGAACACCAGCCACAGGGATGACAGTTCAGGTTGGGGTGTCTGATCCCCAAACTGCACCCCACAATCTCAATTTCCAGGTCATGCCTGCCCCACCCTCTCCCCACACCCCCGGGGACATACAGCCCGCTCCAGGCATCCCATCCTGTGTGGCATCCCCACCCCTGCCCACACCCACACTGACCTGGCAGTGCCTGGCCCCAGGCCCCCCCGCCCTCACTCCACAGGACCCCAGAGAACCAACCTGAATGAGTGTCAAAGCCAGTGGCAGCTTTTTTTTTTTTTTTTAAGGCCAGGTTTCGCTCTGCTCCAGGCTGGAGCTCGCTGAGCCTCAATCTCCTCAACCGATCCTCCCACCTCCGTTTCCTGCGTAGCTGGGACTACAGGCACACACCACCATGTCCTGATGATTTTTATATTTGGGGGGGGGGCGGAGATGGGGCTTCAGCCCAGCATTCCTCCCACCACAGCTTTCCCAAAGTCCTCTGATTCCAGGCGTGAGCCATGGCGCCCAGCACCCCCTGCAGCTCCTACCTCCACAGCAGGCAACGACGCAGAATGGGTGCACCGCACCTGCAGTATGGCAGCACGCAGGCCTCCCTGACGCCCAGGTGGCGCCTTTCTCATGTGGGTCCCACCCAGGACCCCCTCCTCAGCTCCCACCCATGGAAGAGACCCCACCGTGCTCCCTTACCAACAGCTGGGGATGTCCTGACCCCCCACCCCCTGCCTCCTAACATTATAGACTAAACCAGGACCCTAGTGCCCACCCTGGCCTCACTGTCTTCACCCACAGCATTCTCAGTGAGGGACGCCCAGGCCCACCGACTCCGACTCACTTCTGTCCCTCTGAGACCCTGCCCGTGATATGCATCCCTTATTTCCTCTGCTGCCCACCTTAGCCCTGCAGGCCTCACTGGTGAGGAGGGGATGCTTCATGGCCAGCCAAGCACAAGATGGCAGCTAGGGGCAGGGAAACAAGGGCTGCCAGGCCTCAGCTCATGATGCCCCCAAATTCCCCAGGGCCTCCCCAGTCCTGGACCCTGCTACACTGCAGAGTGCCCTCTGCCCCACCCTGCAGTGGAAATGCCTGTCCTGACGTGGCCCACGGGTCCTGCTGTTGCCCCTCTCATGCTCCCTGATGTGGCCCACGGGTCCTGCTGTTGCCCCTCATGCTCCCTGACGTGGCCCACGGGTCCTGCTGTTGCCCCTCTCATGCTCCCTGACGTGGCCCACGGGTCCTGCTGTTGCCCCTCTCATGCTCCCTGACGTGGCCAGGCTGGCCTTGGGGTTGCACCACCTGATGCGGCAGAGCTGAGCCAGGGTCTAGGGCCAGTTTCAAGAGGGCAGGCCAGGCTCAGAGGAGCCCATCTCCAGGGCAGCCCCTGCACCCTTGCCATGCTGGGCTCCGTGAGGACGTCTGGGTGGCTCTCTGCAGGTGACGCGCATGTGCTGTGGCAGGTGCATGTGTGTGGGGGGCTCTCAGCTCTGCCACTGCCAGGGCCCTGGAGTCCAGGAGTGGGTGAGTCTGGGATTGTTCCAAACGCACATCAGCCCAGGACCTGAGAAGCAGCCCAGAAAGGCCTGAGCCCGGCTGTCCTGGTGGGGCAGGTAGAGTGGGTCCTCCCTGCCCAGCTGGCAGTGCCCAGGTGGGAAGGGCTCAAGCTCTCAAGGTGCCCCCCAGCCAGGACTCACCCAAGGGCAGGGACCCCTCATGGGAGGGTGGGAATGACACGGTGCCCAGGACCCCCCACTGAGGACCTCGGCAGATCCATCACAGCAAACGGAGTGGAGGCCTGTATTTTGCGACCCGTCACTCACTCCGGGGCTTGGGAAAGAACCCGTCACCGTGGGCCACCTAGAGTAGGTCGTAGAAGTAGTCCAGGCCCTGGCCTAGCTCCCAGATGGAGACCCCGACGCCCAGCTCCTGCGCCAGCTCCAGCCGCACCTGCAGGGACTGGGCACAGACAGAAGGGTCAGCGCCTCCTGGGCCCATCCCCCAGCACCCAGGGACGCCCTCCATGCCCGGGCAGCATTGCCTGGACCCCAGGGCCGCAGGCTCCCATCCCATGGCTGGCAGCACACGCACCTTCAGGGTTGGGTAGAAGACGACGTGCCTCCCGCTGCGGCTCCTGCAAGACAAGGGGACTGTCGCCTGTCCACCAGCTCCGCTGCCCCGGGCCTCCTCCCACCATGGCCACGGTCCAGGTCCTGTCCTCCCCCCGCCAGGTGGCCATGTGCTGTCCTGCTGTGCACTGGGGTGCGAGTGGCAAGTGGGCTCCCCCACTTCCACCCCCAAGGCCCCACCCTGCACACGGAGGCCAAGGCGGCACCCACATCGCAACACTCACTTCTTGTACTCGAAGAAGTGCTCCGAGGCTTGGCTGTCCCACACCATTCGGGGCCTGTGGTCCTTCAGTGTCTGGACGTACCTGGGGAGACCAGGATGTGGGTTTTGGAGCTCCACCCACTCCCTCGTGGCCCCAAGCTGCACCCCCAGAGGCTGTGGCTATCAGCAGGGGCAGGGCCACTCAGGGCAGCAGGTCAAGGGAGCCACTGTGGTCTGGGAGACAATGGCTGCTGGGGCGGGGGGCAGTGGGGGGAAGGCTGGAGCCTCAGGTCCTGTATTTGAGGAACCCTCAGAAAACACACCTTTCCAGTAGCCTCCTTGGGAGAAGCCACTCCGCTGAGTCCTCAATGCCCTGATCTGGAGGGTGACATGGGGGCCTGAAACTGCCTGACCCCAGTGGTGGCAGCCCTCAGGCTATGCAGTGGCTGCTGGATGGGGGGTTCCTCACTACCCAGACAGAAGGTGAGAGGCCGACCAGGCAGGCCCGGTCCTGGGGATGGCTGCCCAGGGCAGTGGTTTCAAAGGCTACATCTGCCTCAGTCTTGAAGTGACCACCCCATGCCCTGGACTGTAGCAGGCCCCTCCTGAGCGCCGGGAGCCAGGGGTGTGAGAACCACCGGTTCTTCACAGAGGACAGCTCACTCCAAGGGGCCAGGGACAGGACTGTGCTTTCCAGAAGGCCACGGGATCCCTGTGTGTGTGCACAACTCACTGCACATCTGGGACCAGGGCAGGTGGTTCCAGAGCACTGGGCCACAGCCACCAGCAGCACCAACAGATGGTTCTGGAAGCTTCTGGTCTCTGTGCAGGTGGCGGTGGCTGACAGTGGAATATGACCCAGGCCTGCTGTGTGAGGACGGTGTCCCCCAGGTGCCTGGAGCCTACAGCCCAGGTGCCGTGGAGGGAGGGGAGGACAGGCAGTGGGCAGCTGCAGGGGCATGGTGATCTGGGCCGCATGGCATGGACATCTGTAGGACCCTGAGGGATCAGGGCTGGACAGTGCAAGGTTCATCCAAGTGAGAAATGGTGGCCAGGGGACTGCACCTCGACCCACCTTCCCAGCGCTCCTGCCCAGGTGTGGGATGCTCAAGGCTTCCAAACAGGGAGAGGCCGCTGTCCTGAGCAGTGCAGAGGCTCCCGCCACCATGCCCAGCTGGTTTTGGTATTTTTAGTAGAGATGGGGTTTCTCCATGTTAGCCAGGTGGAACTCCTGACCTCAAGTGATCCACCTGCCGCAGCCTCGCAGTGCTGGGATTACAGGTGTGAGCCACTGTACCCAGCCCCTCTAGATGCCGGCAGTGGGTGGCAACAGTGGCTGGCAGCTCCGGCCATCCCAGGCCTGGAAAAGCTCTGCTGGACCTCCGCCCTCCTGGGGCTGGGCCAGGCCCCTCAATGGCCACGTGTAAACACGGTCCTTCCAGAAGCTCCTCCAGGCCAGGCAGCGTCATGGAGGTAGCTGCAGACGTAGCCACAACCCCTCAGACGGCTCTAAGGTCACTGCTTTATCCTTCACTGAAACGGCACTCGAGGTGTTGATTGATTTGCAGCTTCCCCTCTGCAATATCTGCTGAGTGGCTCTGTGAGAATGAGACGGTCAGGGTCGTGGGCAGACGCCACAGGCCAGGGGCCCTCGAGCTGTGGGGAGCTCTGGCCAAGCCACACACTCCCCCTCCTGGGGGGTCTTTGTGGTCACCCCTCAAATCTGCTGCCTCCAGGAGGAGGTGAGGCTGGGGGTGGCCAGGACCCCTGAGAGAACTGGGTACCTCCAGCTCAGGCTGATGGTTTGGTGTGGGGGTGGTGACCACGCTGTGGGGGCAGCCATGACCAGGGCGCTGACAGGGACCCCAATCCTGGGAATCGCTACTCTGGGGATGAGGTGAAGCAGGAGCCAGGTGCTGGGTGGGAGTGTGTGCCCAGCTCCCAAAAGCCCAGGGAGGGTCCGAGACTCACTCCCGGGAAGGGAGGATGAGACCACCGGGTCTAAGGGTGGGGCAGCTGCAGGCAGGAGTGAGTCCAGGTCCATGGCGTAGGAAGGACAGTCCTCAGAGGGCTGCAGACACCAAGAGGGGCTGGACCCTTGGGGGCCTGAGCGGCCACTCAGGCTGATAACTGGGACCTCCCTTGAGGGCTTATGAGGCCCCAGGAGCACAGCTGGTGTGAGGGGCCAGGCTCTCAGGAGGAGCAAGGGCCACACGGGTCCTCTGGGGAGCAGCACCGGCCACAGGGAGGGGAGAGCAGGCAAGCGGGCTGCCTGAGAGGAAGGAAGGGCCGCAGACAAGGCAGGGGAGGGAAGGGTGGGTTCAGGGAGCACTGCAGGAGGGACAAGCACACAGAGAGGGGCATGTGAGGAATAAGGACGCAAAGAACACGACGGCCTTGGCCTCACAGAACGGTCCAGAACAGACAAACCCATAGAGACGGTGGCCTGGAGGTGGACACAGGCTAGGGCGGGAAAGGCAGGGCTGCTTCTGGGGAGCAGCAGTGAGGGCTGCACAATCCTGTGGGCGCACCGAATGC